AGTCACACCCCCCTAAGTGCATGCCCTAGGGACCAGATATAAGAATGCATTTAGAGAAAGTATGCATTTATAGAATTAACCCCTCTAAATGCATGTATTAAGAATCTAATATAAAGATGCACTTAAAGAAAGTGGGTTTAATAAAATTAATAAATTCGTATAACTATAATACAAATTTGGATTTAAATTTTTTTAACGCATTCGTTACATATTATAGTGGAATAGAACTTGACAAGCATAGATTTAAATTCATCATACGGGTAAGTATTTAAGATCTATTTTGTTTTTTTACAATTGAATCTGTTGTACTATTTTTTTATTACAACAAACCAGGAAGGGATACCCGTGCATTGGCACTAAAGACTAGTTAGCGGCTGTTTTAGAATTAATCATGGGAATTTTTAAAGCTATTTACCAATGAAGAATCACTTTGCTGAATGGCGGTAATAACAAAAACAATTAAGATTCCATTTTTAGAAGACAAGAACAATGCATCATAATGCATCATAACGAGGTCAAAGTCAAGATCAAGGCTTTTTTTGATTAATAGCGATAAACAATTTGTGATACTACTGCTATTTCTTTAATCCTACAGCGCCATTTTACTAATCTCAACAATATGCATAACGATAACAATAAGCTTATTTTAGTAACATAGAAAAAAAACCTTTTAGATATCGAGAACTCGAGTCCCAAGACTTTTTTTTAATCGATTCGTGAGGATATAGCCACTATGTGTATATAATTTAAGGATTCATTATTCAAATTTGAATACTGGTACGTTATTTACAGGTTATCTCAAGCTTTCATCTTTATGGATTCACTCAATTCAGGTTATTAAATATTTAAAGTTACCTTTTATTAAATCATTAATCGCATCATTTGTCTTGTAAATACGAGCATTAAGTACTTTAAAATGTAAGATACAAAATTTTAAAGTTCAAATAATACCCCAGTTCCAGTTCGATTCTGGGTTTGCGTCTAGAACTAAAATACGTATCAAGTTCTATCGCTATGCAAAATACCACTTGTATATAAGCATCTCGTGCAATGCAAACTTTATTATCAAACCGCTCATGATAATTATTACATAAATAAAAAGCTTACTTTTTAATAACTATTTTTGTGCATACTTCATAAATGCTGGTCTAATAAATCAAACGACTTTTCTTGAACTTACCCAATTAAATGCAATAAATTTTTTTTTTTTGCTTCTAGATTAAATTAAATAAAACGTAATTTAGCAGAGCTTGGTGCAATATAAAAGCTTATTTGTAAAAAAAAAAATATCACTATAGAAAAAAGAAGTGATTAAAACTTATAATACGTGTTAAAAAAAAAATCTTAAAAATAACTTGCGTATAATCAATTTTTTTTGACCAAAAAAAAAAAAAAAATGCCCAAGAGAACAACTCTTACTGATGCACAAAGACACGAACTTTGTGTCTATGCTCGTGACAATAAAAAAACTCAATCCCAATATGTTGACTGGATTAAAAACAAGTGGGACCTTAAAATTGATGAAAGCACAGTCTCGCATATCTTGAAAACTAGTGAAAAACGTCTTGAAGACAGAATTGTTAATTCTAATATCAAACGTCACAGAACCGTTACTTACCCGGAACTTGATCTCGCCCTCAAAGAGTTCGTACTGATTTATCAGCATCGTACAGTTTTAAGTGATGCTATACTTATTGGAAAAGCAAAGGCACTTGCTGATGGTATGGGAATTCCTCAAGGTGCACTTAACTTTTCCCCCGGCTGGCTTTACAAGTTCAAAAATCGAAATGATATTCGTCTTCGTCAGCTTCAAGGAGAAGACGCATCTGCTGATGAAGTGGCAATTAATAATATTATGCCATTATTAAAAAATAAGTGCTCAAATTATCCTGCTGAAAGGATTTACAACATGGATGAGACTGGTCTTTTCTATCGGTATAAACCCTTATTTTATAAACTCCGTTATAGATTTTTTTTTTTTTTTTTTTTTTTTT